TTAAATCACGAACAGATCCAAAGATTTAAACGTAAAAGCCTTTGGAATGCTTATTCGACTTGAAGAGTCCTTAAATTCGAATACCCCCGTCTATGAAGTAATCCTTTATTTTTTTCGTTAGGTATCTTATTTATTTAATACTTTATGCACAGTGGTACAAAGGAGGACTTAATGGATTACTTTCGCTTGAATTAAACTATCGCCTTTTTAGTATGGTTTCGTGTTATTGTTAGTTTAGTTCTCGGTCTAGTGAAAGTAGTGTTAGAAGTAGAGCGTGGGCTGTAGCATTATTAAAGAGAAAGGTTAATTCCACAAGAAAATATAGCGTAGATATAGGTTGATTTTGGCTATTTTAAGATTTAAGTGAACTTTGATATGTTACAGATGTTAAAGGTATCAGTTTTGGCATAATGCAAAGTTTTAAATACCATTCGCGGTAATTTATTTGCCTATGCGTCACTAAGAACTCCCTAAACTATTATATAAAGCTCTTTAAACACTACACAATAGTAGACGGCAATTTAGGTAACCAGAAACAAAGTCATAAAAATATCGAATTATAAAATATTTCCCTCCACATTTATCCAAAGGGACTAGCATAGCTGTCCTCGAAATCGAGAACTATTTTTTAAGTTATCTCGGTTTGGTTACTGTGTTAGATACTGTAGTCGTTTGATTAAGGTTTTGATTAGAGTTTTAGTTAATCTGAGAGTACGCTATTGACCGCTTTTAATTTGAAAATATGTGCCATATGCGATATTCGTGACATATTCTGATAAACGTGAGTTTTACCATAAACCGTTTCACAAGTCTCTCCATAATCCAAAGTTTACTTTAGTTAAGTAGTAGCTAAGCCTACAGAAAACATAAATAAAAAAAAAACACTAGTTAAATCAACCTAATTTTGTGTTCTACTATTAAAAATTAATCCAAATTTTATCTAATATCGTGAATATGAACTCTATTACCGGGTTGGAGGGTAAACCTAACACGTTTATAGGGTTAGAATATTATATTAGATAAAGGGGTCAAAATTAAATTCGTGACGCACTCTAGTTCAGATCCTATTAACCCATGAATATTAAATTTAATAATGTAATTTAAGCTTTAGTTTCTGCCATAAAAAAGGCATAAGGTTTAAATTATTCTATGATTAAGTTAAGACATGTCTCTGTTAGAAAGTTTCTTGGCTATAGCAAGATCAAATATACGATTAACAATCAAATAAAAAAAATAGTTATCCTCTTGGTAACAGGTCATTCTGCCTATTATTTTCTATTTGATTCCATATTATGTAAGGGCTGTGCCCCAGCAGTCATCACCAGCCTAATAATGTTCAGTTGGGGCTGATCATCATCATCAGCCCACAGCAGTTTGCTGGAGGTCTTTCTACAATACGCTTGCCGATTCGCGATCTCCACTCTAGAAGTCGTTTACCCCATTGGTTATCGGTTTGTCGACAGATATGGCCAGCCCACTGCCACTTCAGCTTGCAAGTCCTGTGTGCTATGTCGATGACTTTGATTCTCTGTCGGCTGACATCGTTAAGAATTTTATTCTTTACAGAAATTCCGAGCATAGCATGTTCTATAGCTCGCTGAGTGACTTTGAACTGGTGGACCAGCTGTACTGTGAGTTTCAGCATCATAAGTATCGTAGAATGTACTGATCGAAAATTTTTGTCTTCAAGCATTGTGGCAGAGATGATGATAAGATTCGACGTAGTGTACAAAACGCTACCCAGCCCAGCTGGAAGGCTAAAACTTATTTTCGAAATTGATGCGACGTAGCTGTTGAACCTATATTTATAACGATAGGTCTTAGCTCTAGGTGGTTGTTGATAATTACTTTGGTTTTATCTAGGTTTATTTTTATACTTATTCGTTGTGAGGCTAATGCCAGACTGTCCAGCATCTATTGCAGCTCCGTCAGCGATTCAGTCATTAGAACAATGTCGTCTATAAATCGTAAGTGCAAGATGTAATCGCTGTTTATATTAATGCCCATTCCTTTCCAGTCAAGCGTCTTGAACATATTACCCATGCGCATGTAAACAGTTTCGGGGTTTGACATCGCCCTGTCTCACACCTCTGCGCAGCTGGATGGCCATAGATTTCTTATTCTGTACGTGGACACTCATAGTGGCAGATATCACAGCACATTGATATAGCAACACAGATTGCAACGCCACAGAGATCTCAGGACAGCCCAGATCTCAACGGAGTCAAAATACTTTTCATAGTTCACAAATGAAAGACACAGAGGTCGATTATACTCTTGGCACTTCTGTACAATCTGCCACACTGTGTGAATATGGTCATTGGTGCCGTATCCGCGAAACCATGCCTGCTCTGCAGGCTGAAAGTCCTACATAGTAGTGATGTAGTAACCCCGACTCATCAACTTTACGCAGAAAAGTGCATGCGTATCAAATATTTTTGTATTTTTTTGACAGATTGACTAAATAAAACTCCTAATTGTTTAACCTCATCCCTATTCTGTTCTACTGCACCAACTAGACTCCATTTAGTCTTGAGTTTGAAAGTAAACAAACTAAAATTAAAATTATTTTTACAGTTCTGTTTAATTTGAAGAGTATTAGAGAATTTACACTATTATTGCTTCTCTAAATAAAGAAGAAATAGTGTATCTTTTGTAATCTGGAGATCTTTCATTATATTCGATACTAACTTCCCGAATGGATGTACCAAAGCAAAACATCTTTAACTTAGATTCAACAACTCACAACTATGCTCATTGGCTTGTTGGAAATTGTTGTACTGGCTCGTGCACGTGGCCTTTAGTGCAGTTGCTATAGAACTTACCCTCACTGATAAGCCATTGTATAGGTTTCTCTATAATGTAAATGTGCATGTTTGTTTATTTTAGAAACCCTACTAAAGAGTTAGTAACATTCAGACTGTGCTGCATGGTGCTATAGACATGCATAGACCCGCGTATAAATTGGCTTATTGAAATTTGATTTAACCATCAAACTAATATTTCCTTTTATATATAATTTGCATATATCATAATTTAATTATAGCCTATTATGTATATTATCGCCCGTACCCTACACATATTATGTAGCTTTCCATTGAAAAAAGTATTTTTAAAATCGGTTCAGTAATTTCAGAGCCTATTCAATGTAAATAAACAGATAATAATAGGTATAACAGGTAATCTTTTCTCTCTTTCTCTGTTAATAATATTAGTATAGATTAATTTAATTTGAATGGTACCATTATTGTGCCAAAATTGAAGGCTTATTAGAAGTAATCTTAACAAACAAAATAACTAAAATGATATCTACTTCATTGACTTAGTCATTACAAAACTGAATAGATTTCTAAAAATAATATAATTACCTACAATATTTTATTTATTAGTCGAAGACATTATGAGACAGGAAAGTGGAAATGACATTTACGTTTCTCTTTATATATTGGGAATGGTTTTTCTATGAATGAATATAAAAGGAGATGAATAATTTACTTTGACTAAAGGAAACCATGTCAATATTTCATCAACTTGTTATTTAAAAAGGTCAGGAAGCTGGCGCTGAAAGCGAGTAATAAATAAAGAGGTTCGATGTCATCCCTCCAGAGTTTATTTGAGATTCTAACAAGGTACAACTGAATAAGTCACAACCCAAGGCTATTTTAGTTTTCAACGTAATCTTAGAAGCTTTATGCCCTTTTGATGGTCAAGTTCAGTTTTAAATGTTACTAGTGACCTCAAAAGCAAAATCTACAAAAATATTTAATAATAAAACAGGTTTAAAATAAAAACATTTAAACTGACTATACAGTTAAATAACGTAACCACGTAGTTTGATTTGTCTATCCAGTATTCTGTTCCAAGAGAATATCCACAAAAATAATTTGCTCAGGCTTAAATGCCAGCATTATTTAGCAAAATCCAAGAATCTCAGTCTTAAATTGAACTTCAAAAAATGTGGCGATGTTAGTGTTATAAGAATTAGGTTTATGTACATTTCATTTCTTACGATTTAACAAACTTTATTGACCATTGAATTGGCATAAGAGGCGGGCTTAATGCAAAAAGCATATACAATTACATAATAATATATACACATGTAAAAAAGCAATTATTGTGTTTTTTATGATTATATATAATACGACAAAGGCTTGACATTCTTCCCAAAGCACAATGAAGATCAAGATAATATTTGTTTTAATAACATTCATAACACACTTCCAACTACTTGTAGTCGGCTAAATAATTTTGTTGAAATGCCGAGTATTCGGTTAAATTTTACAATTATTTAGGCCGTACTTGCGTCCTAAAATAGCCGAGTTGCCGGTTTAACTACTAATCGGTATATCTCAAGTAGCTTCACGTAATCTACTTCCTTATCATGGTTAAATTGCAGCAATGCCTAATCACATCGGCCTTAATTTCACATCTGTAAAGTTCGCTTCATTCTTTTTTTGTTTGGAATGTAAATTTTCCTCGTTCGGCCAAGAACTCCGTCGGAATCCCTCCTATTGTCCCGATCCAATGTCAGATAAAGGGAGATTTAATATAGAGGCCTGTAAATTCCTTGCCACTTACACCGTGTCGAGTTCCGATTCGGTTATTTCACGGAAGATTAGCTGATTACAAGCCGAATAGATTCCGAAGATCTCAGATGCTATTGAGACCGGCAAAAATTCTTTCTGGTCTCATGTATCATCTCTTATGAAATTCAATTTAATGGACGGTGGTAACGAAACACATCGATTTGCGAGCGTGATATTAACAAACCATGTTGTATGGAAAATCAACTTTAATAGAACCCTAACATGTTTTTTATTCAGTCGTGTTTAGCTATTACAATTTTAAGTGTAGTTAAAACAGAATATTACACGAATAAGAATGCAACTTCAGTTTTTAATTTTTATAAAGAGAAATATCATAAAAAATATAAACCGAGAGATGAAAAATTAGCTTACAAGAATTTCATAATCAACTTAAATAAAGTTACTCAATTAAATATGAATCCTAAACAAAAAGATATTATGTACACTTTAAATAAATATGCAGATATAAATCCTTCGGAGATTCAAGAGCATTTTGCTCTTAACCTGAGTACATGTAAGTTTATACTTATATGTTCAATTCCTTATTAATTTTGTTTTTATCCTTATCTTCTCAACGAACCATACAGCTCGTTTTAAAAAAATATATCAATAACTCGATATACGGTCATTTACTAACTACACTATAATGTTTCTATTATACTACAATATTTGCAAATTTCTACAATAGATTTTAAACGTAATCTATCCATCAAAATACTAAACGATTAAGTGACAGGATACAGATAACTTGAGATGCTGCTAACTATTCAAATTACAGTTCAGTGTTTTTTTTTTATTATTTTTATGCTTATAGATGACACCCATGAAGTATACAAAGGACCAATTATTCGAAACAGTCATAAAATTCTAAGAACTATTCATGAGCCAACGCCAGAAAGCGAAGACTTAGAAAGTCTGGAGCTATACGACTTAGATGACTCAAAAAATTTATTCAAAAGATACTTGACAGCTTTCGGGAAGAATATCACTACGAGATATGGTCGTGCTGTACATTTCTACAAATTCGTTAAATCCCTCGTCGATGTTAATAGAGAGCATTATAATGGAAACAAAACTACGGAGATAAATGAAAAATCTGATGTTGTCGAACACCCGACTGATTACTATTATTGATGATAAAAGTCAGTAATTAGCTAATGACAGTCATGCGACTGTAATACGACTGCAAAACAATTATATACATAAGCGTTTTATTTCGGGCGACGGAAATAATCATGTGGATCGATCATTTAATACTATATTACTAATATTATAAATGAAAAAGTTTGTGAGGATGTGTGTGTATGTGTTTATGTGTGAGATATATAGGGTAAACGTTCACACTCTTTCAAGCGAGAGAAGTTTCCACTTGCAGTTTCCTTCAACTTTTATTTTTACTAAATAAAACATCGCTTACAAGTCAATCAGACCGACTACATTTTGTCTAAACAATTCTACTCTTAATTTACTAATATCTTCAAAAGACCATTTTCATAAGGAAAGTATTAAAGAAAATGCTCTACATCACCAATACAAAACCCAGAAGGTTGTCATTAGATACTCCTCGGTTTAGCAATTAAATATAAGAGACAATCATAACCATATTTTTGTCGAAACAACTGTGTCTCCAAGTCTTTTTTAGATTGTGTTTTTTCATCTCTAAGTAGTTAACTTCATGAGTATTGGAGTTAACATATTATATATAATCTAAATTTTCACACGTAAAATTTTTATTGGACTTTAAATTGTTAAAAACAACAGTTAAATCTACACATTTTAATATTAATCACTATAATATTCAGGGTTTGACTGCCAAAGATTTAGAATTAGAATTATTTGCAAGAAAAGTCATTTCATTAAACAATTCTCAAATGCCGAATTTGTATAGTATTCTTAGTTTCGGGAAGAATATCGCGTTTTCTATTTCTAACATACATAAACGATTTGTCATTCTTTGTCAAACATTTATGCGAAATAGTATTGTTTGCAGATGACACTTCTTTAATATTTAAACGTTGATCGATGTAAAAATAACTTAAAATAGTTAATCTTTCTATAAAAGAGCATTGTTTACACCAACAATGCTCTTTTATAGATTGATTGATTGATTAACTGTAAATAATCTCCAGCTAAATGCCAAAAAAAATTAATCGTATAAAGTTTACATTACCTAATGTAAAACTAGAACGAACAGAAATTAAACTTAATGATGAAAAGTTCAAGTTGATTGATTCTTGTGTGTAACGCTGGATTGTAAATCGCAATGGCATACTTGCATTTCTTTATTGGCCAGAAAACTTAGTGTAGTTGCCTACGAATAGCATATAAATTCTGTATTTATTTTGCAAAAAAGCAGTATCAATTAGGTTCAAAAATATCACTTAGAGATAAATTCAAAGAAATTGGGATATTGAGATTGATCTCTCAGTTTTTATACAATTGTATACTTTATGTTACAAACAATATTAACAGTTACGTTAAACATCGTCATGTACACAATTTTAATTCTAGAAACAAAGATAGAAGAAGATAACACTTCTATAACAAAGTTCGTATAGAAATAAAAATTTACCTAAAAAGAGTTATATTAAAAATTATCTGTTTAGTAAAGGATATTATACTGTTAATGAATATTAAAATGACAAAATTCCTTGGTGTTAGGCTTATTTTTCACTAGTGTGTATCAGTTTGCGTTACATTTATTTGATAGTAATCGATTGAAAAGTAAATATATGTATGTTTTTTTTAATATTTTCTAATATTGTGATGGAAAATTACATCATATTTTAATGAAATCATTTTTAAATAGTGACGCGTCTATAAATAAAACAGCTGGTTCTTCTTGGTACAAGATCTCATGCTATAGACTTGCGAATGGATGGCATAGAGTTTCGACTTTCACAAGTGCTTTGTAACAGCCTTGACTGAATAAATGATTTTGATTTAATTATAATAATCAGTCTGTATACTCAAATATATTACACATTTTTATTTACTAGTCCTTTTAGGTATCAAAAAACATATATATTTTGTTACAGGGAAAAAACATTACCTGTGCGCTAATTTTCTAAATGATGATTTTAATGATAGAGAAACATAATAAAAATTTATATTTGCGTCTAACTATTACCTTAGGCAATTGTAATTAACGTTATCGTTCATTCAATATCAATCAGGTTTCAAATAGAGTGAATTGTGAATTTCTTTCAAATGCAAAATTGAGGGGGATTGCGATAGCTTTATATATATTTATATTTCTTGTCGTGGCAATATCAATGTCATCGAGTTCCCTGTAAGTAGATAAAAAATAGTATATTTTTATCTATTCAAATATCCGCATTAAATAAAGTAGAAATAATTATTAAATGCAACTTTCTACATTTTAATTGACAAACTTTAAATTTTAGCTAAGATAATATTATGGACGCAACAAAGGCTATCGTATCTATATTTATTTATTTGAATCTTATGAATTAAAAACTACTCAGTGGACGTTTTCAATTTTTTATTACTAATAGATGAACTAATCAATGAGGAAGGTTAAGATTTATGTATAGTTTATGAAATTAATAATTTATAGCCGTTTGAAGAGTATTTACAATTTTTTTACCAACAATTGGTTTTCCTGGAAAAACTTTTCATTGATTTTCAACGACGCAATCGCAATAAAAGCAATTTAAAAATAGATTTTAAGCTCAGATAAATATGGAATTATATAGGTATACGTATCCGCTCCGGTTTTGCATTAATAAAATTAAAATATCTAGTAAGTTTTATGAATTATATCGGATCTTAATTGATCCTTTTTGGGAATCAGATTCAAAGAAAAACCGCTGTTGAAAAAACAAATCATGTGAAAGTCAACCAAGATACCTGAACCAAAATTAATAACTACGATTATGTTTGAGGCTTTTTATACCTATAGTATAATTCTAATAATGGATAAATTTTCTAAAATATGCAAAGAACTACATTCATCTCAATAATCGTATATTTAAACAACAACCTTAATAAATCTAAGGTATTACCTGGACACATTACTCTAAGTGTTGGCTATTTACCGCGTCGGAAATTCGCGGTATGTTTCCCCTTGGAAATAAAAATGGAAGCAGGCAAACAACGTACGACATGTCTCCTCCCATTTACTAGCTACGAACTAAAGCGGCTATATACTCAAACAAGAGTACAACAATACAGTTTAAGGTTGTACGACACGGTCGACCGCTTATCTACATTTACATTGAATTCCTTGACATCAGATTGAATCAAAATTCACTCAACGTTCAATACTGTATTGAACGTGGAGTGCGTTTGATTGAAACTGATATTTTAAATGTACATCTGTACCTAATGTATCCGGGATAGATATCCCGAAACATAGATATGTTTTATGACGCAGTAGATCCGGTTAAGATTAAGTATGTTTAGGATCACGAGGTATGGCAAGTGTAGTTATTTTTCAAATTAATAAATGCCAAAAAATTCTAATAAATCTAGTTTGTTTTATGAAGTTAGATAAACAGTTCGAATATTTTGAAAGATATGGAAAGCGCATCGCTGGCGAAGTTTTTATAAATCAGTAAATTTCACACAGAATTTACTTAGAATATCTCTAAGTGTGTATAAAAAACAAATTCAATGCTCTTTATGAAACGGGAAAAATCGATTCAAAATATGTTATTTACTATGTTAGACTTAAAAATGAAGATGGTCGTGTTTAAAAGCCTGTTTTTAGCTTCAAGGAGGTATATCACAATGAGCTTAATTTTTAATAATCTTAAATTATTTTTTTTTATTGATCTATAGATTACTTTAAAAAAAATATTAACTACTGGCTGTATTACCACGACTTCGCCCGCGTAAATTGCAGCCGTAAATTATGTCACCCGTGTACGATGTTGTTTCTCATGGGTAAAGAATTTTCTAAAACCAATACAGTAGTTTCGAAGCCTCTTCAATAAAATTAAAAAAAAAACAATCAAATATTTCCTCATTATAATATAACCTTTAGATTAGGGTAGAGAGCGCAGCTTTACTTTTATGTAGTTTTTCAGTTTGGAATAAATCATGGCGTACTACCTTAATATCACTAGGAGCACGTAAACAAAGATTATTACAAACTGCGCTTCTAGCAATTTGTTATTTGATTCTGAACATCTATTGTTTCTTGAGTTTTCTCTGAGGTTAGTACTTAAATTTTCTTCGAAGAAAAACGTAAATTTAACGAATATTATGCTTCCGTTTTGTGTTTAAAACTTCAAAGTTAAATGATATTGATTCGTACCTGACATCTCTACTGGTTTGCTGAAATTTCATTTCACTTTTTAATATTGATAACTATCATAGCCACCGATGGAAGCCAATAATTTGTAGCATTTATTAAATTTTGATCATTGCCGTAGTACCTATTATGTCATCAGTTTGTATTGAGCAATATTACTTGTTATAAATTTTGTGAGCAATATTTGCTATGAAAAAAAAAACAGAAAATTAGAGTATTCTATTACATTCGATATATATTTTTTATTCGTTTATTGAGTAAAGAAAAACATGTGTTTCGACGATCTTTGTGGCCGAGTGAATCGTATGTCGATTTTGAGGAGTCGCCATTTCGCGACCTCTGGTTCGATTCACGGTCGGGTCAACTTAAAAATTGGAAATTTTCCATAAGGTCTGCGTGTCATGGTACAAAACCACTTAAAATTATTAAATTTCTAACCACCCACTCACTCTTCCAAGAATCAAATCGATTATATAACTTTTTTATTTTTCCTTTAAAAAAATTACAGCCAATGCTTTTTACATAAACTTTCATCTTCTCATCGAACCATTTTACTTAATACTAGCTTTCCGACAGCGGTTTCGCCCGCGTGGTACATAGGGAACTGTATAGTGGGATAAAAAGTAGCTCAAAATAAATCCAAATCAAGCTTAGAATTTACTGAAATAAATCATTTGGTTATTTTTTGGTTTCTTATCATGACACACCATGATATTCCAAAAAGAAAGGGTAGATAGATTACTTGCATTCAAAAAGTGTCACCTTCAAACTATGCTAATTAGTATACCTCTGTAACGGTGTGCCAAACCACCATTTATTTTGTCCTAGGTTTCAACATGCAAACTTTTTGTCT